GTTGTATACTTTACGTGCGTCAGATTAATGCTTAACGTGCGTTTACCAGCACAACCGCACGGGAAACCTCAAATGCACATGATCCATTCCCTATATATATATACATATACACTATTATGGTGTTTAATTTTGGTTATAATTAAAATTTAAAATAGAATCTTTATCTAATAAAAGGGATCCTATCAATAGTAATAATTAATTATATTTTTTTGTATTCTAAGATTTTGAAGAAGAAACATGCCAAGAAGAAATAGTAATATGAGATTTGTATGTGTTACGGTGGTGTGTGCAAATTTCAGAAACTTTGCATCATGTAGTTTTTGTTTTTATTTCGTTTTTTTTTTTTTTTGTTTTTTGTTTTTTTTTTTGTTTTTTTGTTTTCTACGATGGAGTATGCATTTTCGTGATATGGCATTTTGTTTTTTGTTTTTGTTTTTTTTTTTTTTTTACAGTGGTGTGTGCACAAAAAAATCATGGTTTATATACAAAAAAAAAAAAAAAAAAAAAAAAAAACCAACAAGAATTAACGCACACACCATACCAGAACAATGCACACACCGTTGTAAGATTGCATTTAAAATAATGCAGTAATAAAGGCGTGTGCATTAAACTAGTGTGTGCACATAATGAAGTAGGTGGATGCGTAAGAATGAGCACGTAGGTATTTGCTAAGTAGGTTATATTTCACAACTATATGGCATGTGCGCACACGAGTGACAGTATGTGCGTTATGCTGGTGACAGTAAGAGAGAGAGAAATATTGAAAATCGATTGAGGCAAAAAATAACGCTACAAATCTTTATAAACATGGAAATAAATGAAATGGAAAGTAATAAATACAATGATTAAGGAAAAAAACACCTCTAACTTCATCTAAAATCAGTAGCATGTGTGATACAAGTGAAATCAATCTTCCGTTGAAAAATAAAAATAAATGCACAGGATGTGGTCTCACGATCTCACCTGGCTAAGAGGGTTGCACTGGATTCAAAATCTATCTATATATATATATATATATATATATATATATATATATATATATATATATATATATATATATATATATATATATATATTTAGGTTCTCGTGCGGGTGAGGGCTTCAGGTGCGGTTGTGCGGTTTAATCTGAGCCATTCATCTCGCTTTAATCAACGTTTAGGATTATCAAAGTTTAAAAAAAAAAACGCGGTGGCAATTTTGTAATTTTTGCATCTAGGTCAAAATTAAGGTGAGCGGATCTGTGATTAATGTGCGTGAGTTTTGTGCTTAATGTGCGTGTGTTTTGTGCTTAATGTGCGTGAGGTTTGTGCTTAATGTGCGTGGGGATGTGCTTAACGTGAATAGTTGTTAAAACTTAAAGTCTGTGAGTGAATACTTAAAGTGCGTGAGTTTTGTGCTTAATGTGCGTGATGTTTGTGCTTAAGGTCCGTGGGTTTTGTACTTAATGTCAGTAGTTGTTGAAACTTAAAGTCTGTGAGTTAATATTTAAAGTGCGTGGGTTTTGTGCTTAATGTGCGTGAGGTTGTGCTTAATGTGTGTGAGTTTTGTACTTAAAATGCGTGAGTTTGTGATTAAGATCTAACACTGAAGGTGCACCTTAGTTTATACTTCTTTGTTCCAGGCACGTGTTTTTTT